GGGGGCCCCATTTGATGCTTGTCGTTATTCTTGACAATCATCGAGCATGCGTCTCGGTTGAAACGGGGCGTCTGGTTTCTTACCAGCACGGTCGGTTCCGGCGAGCGAAGTGCACGGGAAACTTAGCCACTCAAGACTTGTAGGTCCAATCGACGGCTCACAACAACACAGCAGCAGGAGTTTCGCTCTACAACAGCAGCTCGGGGCAGGCACGGCTCTGCAGGTCTCTAGTACACACACCAAGAAGCACCACCGCCCGGTATGCATGTTCTCACATTGGACGAGCTCGAAGGGTGCGAACCAATATCGGCACGCCGACCCGAAGATTCCCTGCCATTCATATCTGCCACGCGCAAGTAGTCCAGCTCGGAGCCCCTCTCTGAGCGACTCCTCTCTGAGCGATCCATCTCAGATCGGTCCCTCTCTGAACGATCCCTCTCAGACCGATCCCTCTCTGAACGGTCCCTCTCAGACCGGTCCCTCTCAGAACGATCCCTCTCAGACCGATCCCTCTCAGACCGATCTTTCTCGGAGCGATCCCTCTCTGTGCGATCCCTGCCGGACTTATCCCTGTCCGAGCGATCCCTGTCGGATCTACCCCCACCCCCGCGGCCGTGGCTATCCACGCCCGGCCAATACCGGTCCACGGATGACGCCAGTCGCGGGCGGACTCCGCCATCCTTCCCGCCGTCGCGTCTCCTCCTTCGACCACCGCCATCCGGGGAGCTGTCCCTGCCCAGGCCCGGCCCGTAGGCATCCAGCGTCTTCAAGCTTCCCAGCCCCTGCCTGTCGTGGGCATCACGCCCTCTCTCGCTCGCCTTGCCGCCGAGGCCGCCGCCGCTAAACTCCAAGCTTGCGGGCGGTGAGGACGCCGAGCCGTAACCCTCCATGCCGGGCAGAGCGCCGCCGCCGCCGCCGTTGCCACCAGAGAAGGACGCACCGGCGACCGAATCGCGCGGCGCCGCGCCCCTGCGCGCCGACGGCCGTTCTCTGCTGGTGCCGGTTCGGCCCTGACCGGCGTGGCTGTCTCCGGTGCCACCGTTGCTACCGCGCCTGGCACTCTTCTCCGACCCGCCGTGGCCATCGTCCCGCCTCGGCGACAGGCCTGAGTCCGCCCTCGAGCGACTCTGTCGCGGTGCGTCCCTGAGCTCGCTGCTGGTGCGTCCCGACTCCTGCTCCGACCGGTGCCTGCGGGTCTCCGTGCTACGATGAAGGGGGTCCGGTTGCAGGGCGACGGCGGCGTAGCCTTCCAGCGGCGGGGCCGCGTCGAAGTCGCGCGAGCGCTTGCGCGATGACTCCGAGCTCCCCGCCCGGCCCGGCCGGTCGTGGGGCTCCGAGTGCCGGTCTCCCCTCTTGTCCTTCTTGTCCCGCTTGTCCTTCTTGCTCTTTTTCTTGCTCGGCCGGTGAGTGCTGCTGCTGTTGTGGTCATCTTCGGCGTGGTCGTCAGGGTGCCTGTCGTCATGCCTGGCGCTGATGCTGGCCCCCTCCGACTCACTGAGGTCGCTCCTCCTCCGCTTCCGCTCGCCGCCTTCGCGCTCCCGGCTGTTGTCGGACTTCCTCCTGACGCCCTCGGCCGCGAAGTCCGGCTCTCTCGCCCGCTGCGACGACGAGCCCCTCTTCCTCCACTCGTCCCCCCTCCCCCTCTCCTCACCACGCTGCCGCTCATACGGATCCTCGTGCTCTCTGCCCCCTCGCGAACCCTCGACGAGATCGTGATGCCGCCGGCCCTCAGCCTTATCGCGCCGACCCGACGCACGATCCCCCTCGGCACCTCCTCTCTCGCGGTCCTCCTTGTCTAGCCTCCCGGCAGCGTCGCTGTGCCGGCCCTCGTCTTTTCCACGCCCGCTCATGCGCTCCTTGTTGTCCCTCGAAGCACCTCTCCCGTCAGCGCCGCCCTTGTCTCTCCTCTCCCTGTCTTTGGCGGCGCGGTCGTGCCCGTCCTTGGACCTACTATCGTCGCCGCGGCTCTCCTCTCCCGCCTCCCCCCTCGCCTGGTACCGCCTTCGGTCCTTCTCGCGGCCTCGCGCAGCGGCAGCAGCAGCGGCAGCAGCAGCGGCAGCGGCGTCCTCCTCCTCTTCCTCCAGCTTGGTACGGCGCGCGAGACTGTCAGCCCTCTCCTTGGCCTCTTTCCCCTCCTTCCTGGCGGCCTCCTCCTCCGCCTTTTTCCTCCTCGACGCCGCGATCATCTCCTGCCTCTGCATCTCCCTCTCCTTTTTCTGCCGCTCCCTCTCCAGCGCCTTCGCCTTGCCCTTCTCCTTGCCGGCGCGACGGGCCTCCTCCTTCCGACGACGCCTATCCTCCTGCTCCTGCTCGCGCTTCGATAGCCTGGCCTTCTTGGGCGAGCTCGAGCCGGCGCCGCCCCCCGCTCCCCCTTTCTGTGCCCGGGCTGCTGCCGGCGCCACCGTCCCGTTCTCAACGCTCCCGACAGTGGCGGGAGCGGCGGCGGGACTAATAGTCGCCAAGTTCTTGCCCTCCTCCGTCTTCGCCTCCGGCACCGGGGACACCCTTTCCGGCGACGGCGACGCCTCGCTCGGAACAGTCGACGGCGTCGAGGGAGCCCCGCCGTCACTGTCAAGCCCATCGGCGTCCGCCGCCTCCGTCTTCACGCTCCCAAGGTCTACGCCGCTGCCGGCCCCGAAGCGATGATCCCCGTCGGCCCCGATCAGCCCCGTGACCTGATTTCGACGGTGCCCCGGGTCTTCGTTAGCCCTCTGGTACTGCAGCGACCAGCACCCCTCCGGCCCCTGCGGGAACGGCCCGCCACCCTGGAACGCCTGCGCCCACCAGGCCCCGGGCACAGCCACGTTGCGAGCCAGCACGTCCGTCAGAACGGACTCCAGGCTCGCGTGGCGCTCGGCCTCCGTCTGCGGAGCAGCACCCGCCGCTGACGCCGCCGAACCACCAGCACCACCGGAGGAATGGTGACGCAGCGGCGACAGGCGAGCCACGTCTCCTGGCGATTGCTTGCCCTCCAAGGAATCACCGATGGCGGCGGCGGCCGGCACTCGAACCCACGCGGCTCGCTTATTCGAGGTCTTGCCCTTGCCGGCTCTTGCACCGTTGCGGTCGGGCGAAACGACCGGGTCGCCGCCGGGATCGAGAGCCAGCAGCTGCTTCCCGATGCTCTCCAGGGACGGCAGGGGAACCGAGCCGCGTTGCAGCCAGGCATCGACCATTCTAGAGAGCTGGGCGTGCTCCGTGGGGTGCAGGCCCCGACGCCGTGGTTTGGATCCCGCGCCGAGGACGGCCTCCATCATGCCGGCCAGCACCTCGCCCGCCGTCTTGACCAGCTCGTTCTCGCCATCCGGCGACTTTTTCTTCTGTGTGAAATCGAGGGCAGGGACGGGCCGGACGGGAAGGACAAGAGGCAGCAAGGTGATAACCGAAGAAGAAAGGTTGTCCAAAGCTCATGGAGCGGAGTAGGATATTAGAACACTCAAGACGCCTGCAGCTACCAGGGCCTTTTCGGCATTAGCGCAACAATACTGCAACCGTCCCCCGTGGCAACGGTTCAGCAGTTGTCGCTGAGGGGCGCAAGGGGTATCAAACATATCGGGCACGGCAAAAGCAATGTACTAGCTTTATCCCCAACCACCCGTTGACTTTAAGGAGTCGAGGGGAAGGCACAGGAAAGTACACGAGGCGGCGGCATCTTCTCGTTCATCTAGATTTTCTTCGTATATTGCAATCTTGATGTCTCATTCAAGTCGCACGCGACCTGGCTGAAGCTCCAGCGACGGAAGACCGTAAAAATGATTAACGCACACCACCGAGCTTTAAACTGGCGATCGCTTTCATGTGTTGCAAAAAATAGGCTTGGAGCAGCATGCAGTCATTAATCTTTCGAAGGGTACACCTAACAAGCCACCCTACTGTAGACCGCTTAGCCGGCCCAAAGACAACTTCTCCTTTGCCCTCGTTCGTACGTCAGTGGCGGAAAAACGATACCCGCCTTTCCCTCAGTCACCTCGGCAAATCTGTAGGAGAGACTGTTCACGGCGTTTATCGCGCACACGCAGGCCCTGAACGCGGCTCTCGCCTTGACCTCCGCCTTGTCCTTGTCCTGTGGCGACACGCCCTCCGCCCGCAACGTTCGGGACCACACCCTAACGTAGCTGACCAATGGAAGCCGCGCGCGCCGTCATGGATAGATGCCCGCAACGGCACACACAGAGGGGGTGGCAGGAAAAATCCGTCAGCAATGTGGGTAGCTGAGCAACGGGGCCAAATTAACCGAAATATGTAGAACAGGGGTGGCGACGGATATTTCTTCCGGCAACAAGGGCAAACGACACGAGACCTTTGTATATCTCGCAGAAAAACTTGGTTTGAGCATACGTGCTGCTGCAGTCAGGACCCGTGCGTTGGTACGTTCGTAGATCGGCTGCGCGTCGGATGCCAAGTGGGGCGGGGTGTATTTGGGATCACTCTCGAACGAATTGTCACTCCAAATTTGCAACAGGATTGCCGCAACGTGCGAAAACGGCCCCTCGCCGACTCTCGAAAACCACGCAGCCACATGAAGGTTGCTGATCAATATGGTAAATCTGATACCGTCTGTGGTGGTGGGGACTGTCAACGGGACGGGGCCTCCAAACAAGAACGAAGGGAGCTCCCTGGGAAACGGTACAACTATTGGGCGAACACAAGAGCCAATATTCAACATTCCATGGCGATGGGTGTTGCCAAGGAGGCAAGTCAGCATGTTGCATAGCCTGACGCCTAGACCACGCAAGATGCGACGTGCGCAGTAACACGCCGAAGCCCGGCAGCCGATCTTGCACCGAGGGCGAAACAACCGGCAGGGATGCGCCCGTCCCGCACCAAGGGCGACGGAAGCGCGCACGCCGTGGGACAAGCAAAGCCAGGACGCGCTCGCCGCCGATAGATAACTACCTTCGCACCCGTTTCGCCCGGCTAAGATCCTAACCACCCTTCCGCAGTACGGGGGAACATGCACCTGTCCCTGATCTCGCGCGCGTCGGCTTACCACTGGTACACACCCTGATACATCCCTTGACGCGGCGTTCGACTCGCTGGAGATAGAGGCGCAGGATCTACGACAGAGAAAGGTGCTGGTGTGTCTGCCTGCGGGTGGGTAGGTTCCTATCGGCGGGCGGTTCTGCAGGAGTCCCTCTCGCTCGATTGCGCTCACCACAAAATCCTAGACAGCCCCTTCTTAGCGTGGCCCTCGAGGCCCTCCGCGCAGAGCCAGTTGCTGATTGCCTGGTCGCTGCCCGGATCCCTCCCGCACCGCTTCAGCAGGCTGTCGAGTCGCCCGATAACCTGGGTCTCTAGCTGGAGCTCGTGCGCGCGCGCCTGCGTTCGCGGGGAAGAGCCAACCCGTCCCGGAAAACAAACAATGATATGTTGTTGCTGCGCACGGCCACCTACGAACAGCAGGATGACGGCAAAGCCCCCCAAGCTTCGCACAAGCATTATCCTTAAGGTGTTCCATGTGTCTCGTGTGTTTCCGTACGCGTCTTTAGGTTTTCTCAAGTCGACCATGTGGTGTGCAAGGGGGGGGATCTCGACGGTCCATCGACCCATCACTCTGATGAACCTCTACAAGCCTAGATTTAAACGATTGGTACATCTAGCAATGGGATACTTTGGTATCTTCTTGCTTAATGGCGGGCGCAAGCGTAATGCACGATATTCCCCTTGGGCCTGATACCCTGCAGCAGCAGGGTTGGGAGGAGGGGCGCACACACGGCGCTAGTAACTAAAACAGGTGCTAACGATTCTTTGAGGGAACTAAACCTGAACAGACTCCGTAGAAATTGGAGGTGCGGGGTTCCAGCAGTAGACTACGCAGGCAGTTGTATACTTCCTTCATTAATGTGAGCTTGTGACAGGTAGAAATCGTCTCAAATTATCGTGAAAAGGAAGCACCCACTGCCGACACCTACCGCATTTACTACGGGTGCGGGTATTTTCAAGCAGCAGCAACACCACCGCCTTCACTGCTGTGTAGGCAGTTTTTCGCGACGCTGTGGATCTCCCAATCCCAGCGTGACAACCACTTTACGCCACCGCCGTCCGTGGGGAACACGGCGACAAACACCAACCAAGGCAGGCTCAGTCGCAACCCTCTTCCGGGTGGGTAGCTGGTTGAATAATTGTGACTCCAGGTCTAAATGAGGACGCGACAGCTGCCGATAGGCAATTCCCAATACTTTTAAAAGTCTACTGCTGTGGTTGTTTGTTTTTGTGTTTGTTTTTCTCCCATTATTGGACTCTGTCGTCTGCCCCTCTGGCCCCTATCCTCCACTTCTACCAGCTAGACGACCCAACCGGGGTCACATAGGAGGGGGGGGTTGGACCCCCTCCTGCGGTTCCTGCCTGAGATATTTTTATCGCGAGTAGGGTACAGCAATCCCTTCCCTCGCGACTTATAAAGTCGGTCAAGTTTACGAACAACGAGCTTTGCAGCGCGTCGCTCCCAACGGAGACCAGGATTTAATTAGCTGTGGTATGTATTCCTTCTTACTAAGGTTAAAACATATGCTGTAGTCACCTCCCGTGTGCTGACCGATTCGCCGAAGCCTAGTCTCCGCTCGTTCTTCTTTGGAGTGCCAGCTAAAGCCTTGTTTCTCTTGTAAGCTGACAACGATATCCTCTTCCCCGACATGGCTGCTGCACAGCCCTTCAGGAGGCACCAAGAAAAAACACCGCCCGTGGCCTGGCACAGCCTCCGGCAAGCGTGCTAGGGGCTTTTCCTTCCTTGCCCTGTGAACCGGTCAAAAGATCGACGAAGCAGCAGGCCAAGCGAGTGTGCCGTGTTCGCGGCGCACGTGCATTTTTACGCATTTTTCGAAACATCAGCGGAACACTCCTTACCGAAGATAGCTCTGGATTCGGGTCGAAGTTAGGAGTAGGGAGCGCAGCAATACTCTACTCTTGTGAGTGTCTCTCTCTCCCCGAGTATTGCACACCGCGCTTGCCTGTGGATGGCAACGAGGCGTGGTGAAGGTTCGCCACACTGAGGAGGAAAAATCATTCGTACGCGCTGCTGATCAACTCCAACAATCCGAACAACGACCCGATCCCCAATCAACCCTAAGAGTCAATGGCTCGGAACAAGTAGCAGAAAAATCTCCCGTGACTTACCTCGGGTTCCTAGGGTGTCCCGGCACTAGAGCCCCATCCCTTGGTGTCGTGTAATTGTAGTGAGGTCGTGGGGTGATGCACTGGGGGAGGGGCACACGCACAAGAGAATATTCCAACATACCTGGTTCTCAGACAAAATCCATTTTGCGGCTCCCCACCGATCACCCCACGACAAGACATAACCTTGCTTGCTGTACAAACCTCGACGGAGATGTCAAGAGAGAACCTGGTGATGCGGCGGTGGAATTCTCTCTGCCGCGCACTCGGCATCGATAACGCGCCCTCCGAGGAATGGGGCAAAACTTTGCGAGACGGATACAGGTATCATTAGACACAAATGATTTTTGGGTTGAGAGTAGAGTTGTGAATCGGTACGAAAAAACGATATATTTTACATCGGCTGCGCAGCAGCCGATATAACGATATTTTCTCCGATATATCGCCTACGGCCGAGCGCAGCGAGCCGTGATGGGGGCGAGCGAAGCGAGCCCCCCCATCGGCCCCCCCCGGCTGGTGAGGGGGCCTCGCCGGAGGCGCCGCCGGAGGCAGAAAATTTGGTGCATTTTCCTTTCATTTCCCGTCAAAATGGGCCCAAATGCGGCATCAAAAAGGGCTTGACTTCAGCTGCAAACATCGCACGGAATGTAGAAAAAAAAAAAAAAGATTAAGATTGATGTATTGTCGCGTATCCTCAGCAGTACCCTCCTTCGGTCTCTCCCTGTGTCTACTTCCCGGTTGGTTCTGGACATGAAAGCCAGCACTACGGCACTATGGATACAGCACTAGCGCTTATCTACCTCCCTACTACCTGCGCATGCAACGTGCAACCGAAAAAAGAAAAAAAACGAGCAAACGAGAAGGAACAAAAATTAAA